GGAAAGAGGCACCCCCAAACGGGCTTCGTGCTATGGTGCTAGCCAGCCCCGGGCATGGGCACAGGTGCACAAGCCTGGCACGTACAGGCAGATCCTGGGACTTGAACCGAGGACCTTCCCATGTGGGTATGTTTGTCACCTCTGTGCCTCCGCTGTTTGAACTGGTTGCCCACATGTTTCTGACAAGGTTTCCCAGGACTCAGTAACAATTCCTTGCTCCATACCCCACTCCGCACCTGCAGAATCCGTGGCTCAGTAGCTGGTGGGGCTCTCTAGCTTTCCACAGTCCCCTCTGGGCCTGTGTCGCCCAGTGTCAACCCCTGAGTTTGTCCTTGGGGTTGAAGATCTGAATTATCCTCGCATTTGCAGGCTTCAGAGAAAGCTGCTGTTCCCACGAAGGCCACGAGGTGGCGCAGCACACCCATGAGCAGAGGCTGGTCGGCAGCTCCTGCCAGTTCCATAGGTTTGGGATCTGGGAAGGCCTTAGCGTCCAGGAGCCTTCTAGACATTGCAAGAATTTAGGGGGGTGGGACTAGCAGATGGCATAGTGGTTATGTCGCTGGACTCCCATGTAGTCCACCACAGTTCAAGTCCGGGACCCGGTGGCTTAAACTCACGCCGGGCATGTGTGCGTGCATGCCCAAAACTCCAAGAGGAGAATGGAGGAGAAGGGATTGTGGTGTGGTCATCCCCCCTGGGGGGTGAGTTCTTGTTTTCTGTCTCTCTGTCTCTCTCTGTTTCTCTTGCAAGCACAGATGCCTTATAGCAAAAATCTCTCTTAAAAAAAAACAAAAAAATAATTTAGGGGGAGAAACTGATCGGCTCAGTAGGAGCCCAGCCCCAGGTCCTGGGTCTGCAATGGCTCAGTGATGACAGTGGAGTGACAACAGCGAGGGCCCATCCGGAATGACTCGTTCCTTCCCTGTTTCCCTGGACAGTACGAGGAACGACTACTGAAAAAAATACGCCGGAAAATTCGGAACAAACAGTCGGCCCAAGAGAGCAGGAAGAAGAAGAAGGAGTACGTGGATGGTCTGGAGACTCGGTAATCCCGGGGTGCGGGCTTCACACTCGCCGGGGAGGTGGGGGTACGTCGATGGTTGGAGACTCGGTAATTCCACGGTGCGGGCTTCACACTCGCCGGGGAGGTGGGCCCAGGGAGGGGCGGGGTGTGGCCAACGTCGCAGTTCTTGGGGCCTGGCCAAATGAGCAATGATTTCCTTCTCTAGGACGGACCCTTAGGGATGGGCTCCAGGGTCCCTTTGTCCCCTAGAGGGCGTGATGCCAAGAAAGGGTGAGGGGGACTCGTCTCATTCTGAACCTTTGCCTGGTGGTGGGACAGTCACCACTGTGCCTGAGTCAAACTGACCCTCAGAGCTGTGTCGGCCTCCTTGAGAGGGGGACAAGGATGGCGAGGGTTTTTTGTTTTTTGGGTTTTTTTGGCAGAACTTTTTCAACTTAAGAGTTGGAATTAGATTGAAGAATTGAACTTAAGAGACCAAATTTCATCCGATCGATTCTCTCATAACTCATTTAAGATACCATGGGGATGGCCTCTCCATTCTTTAATAGAAACATAAAAAGCAAATGAATGTGTTTTACACTACGAATGCCTTTATTCGATATTCTAGGTCTATCTGGGTTTTCCATTTCTTCTCGAGTCAGTTTTGGGATGCCATATTTTTCTGAGAGGTTGTCCTTTTTAAGTATATCGGCTTAAAATTGTTCCATGGTTTTCTCCTACTATTTTTTAATATCTATAGTTACGCATTTAAAAATCCACACTGTTTATTTATACCTTTTCTCTCCAATTGTCTTCATCAATTTTGCCAGAGGTCTGTCTGTTTCACTAAGTTATTACAGAATGAACTTCTGTCTTTCCTTTCACCCGTTGTATATTTTATTTCATGTCTACTCTTATCTTAATTATACTAATTATCCTCTTTTTTCTTCATCGTGTTTTCAGAGGGATTCATTCTGTGCTTTTGCTAATTTTTAAATGTACATGCTCAGCTCAGCAAGCTGTGTCAGGGCTATCCATCCTCCTCACAGCACAGCTTTAGCTGCATCCCATGCATTTGGATGTGTACCAGCATCTTTCTCACCTGGTCCCTAGGGCTTCCCCAATTTACATTATGAGTTCCTCTTTCTTCCATGAGAGATGTAGAGGAGGGATTTCAGATAGGGGAATTTATTTTCTTCCCAGGTTGCTATATATCAGATGACTGGGAAAGTCACGATGCGCTTTTGCATAGAAACACAGAGAAGTGCGTCCTGACTTTTCCGATGGCGGAGTATCTGGCCTGCCTTCTAGATACCCGGGGCAGTGTAGTATTTCCTGTTAACCTAGACCTCTATGCAACTTCACGGAGATCGAAGTATGTGATCTCACCTGTTGCCCGTGAGGAAAATACACCTATGACAGTTCAAGGAGCTGCAGGCCTCAAGATAGGGATTGTCCAAAAGCATCCTGGGAGACCCACTAGTCCATGTCCCCGTTCGCCCTCCTTCCCACACATCCCACCTCGGGGTAGAGGCGTGGCCTCGTGCCCACTCTGCGCTCACCCTCAGTCTCTGACTTGAGTGGTTCGAGACCACGTGTGCGAAGGTGGGGTGCCCAGCCGGGACCCCAGAACTGGGAATGGAATGATCCCTGCTGTGCTGTTTCTTCAGTGCCACCCTAGCTGACTTTATTGCACGCCACTCTCCTGGCCACCCTGTGACCTGGCTAACCGTATCCGCATCCTACAGACGAGGGCCCGAGAGTGGCATAGCTCAGGGTCACAGCGAGGGCCTAACTCTGGTCTCTGGAGATGCCCAGTTGCCCCTATCATGTCTTCTGGAACCACCACAGGCTGAGTTTGGATTTGCATCCCCAGCCCAGGGGCTCAGCCCAGAGCAGAGTCCCACAGCCAGACAGAGCGGAGACCAAGGAGGGGGCAAGTGCGGGTGCAGATGCCCACCTCTGCCCGCCTGGGACTGTGGACGCCCAGAGGACTGACTCTCCCCCAGTAGGAGAGTGGGTCAGCCAGGGAGGCATCGGTCAGACCAGTCGGTGATGGCGTGTTCTGAGTGTCGCTGTCATTGTCCCCGCAGAATGTCGGCCTGCACCGCCCAGAACCAGGAGCTGCAGAGGAAAGTCTTGCACCTCGAGAAGCAAAATCTGTGAGTGTGAGCACAGTTGGGGCAGAGGACGGGGTCCAGCCGGAGTCCCCTGCGGGAGACGGGGAGGAGGGGCGATGACAGCAGGCTACACGGAGAAGGGGATTTGCACTCGGGGCGTGGAAGGCTGTGTAGGAGTGTGCTAGGGAGAGGCCCTCCTGGAGGAGGAAGTGCATGTGCCGCTGGCCAAGGGCACGGGGGTTGGAGAACTGCGCCCGGCTCTGTCCAAGATGGGCCTCCAGTCAGCCAGGGCTCATCTCGTGTCTGCTGCGCTGGCGGGATTCTGGGGACGGGGACCCGGTGGGGAGCGACACAGAAGAGGACGAGACATGGCTCCCTGCTCGAGGGACTAGTGGTTTTGTGGGAGAGGCACTCAGGATCGCAAACGTGTATACGGCCGGCCCCGCAGAGCAGTGGTTAAGGCCTGGGTAGTGGGAACTGGATCCCACATGACCAACTGTGGTTCGAATCCTGGCACCAGCAGCTTGAAAAACATGCCTGGTACGTGTGCGTGCTCCAAGTACCAACGGGATGGAGAAGGAATTGCAGCCCGTTGGGGGTGCTTCCCCCTCTCTGTCTCTCTCTCTGGTGAATGCACACACCCTCTGCCAATTAAATATATATATAATAACATATGATAGGGCGGGCAGGTGGCGTGGTGGTTAAGGTGCTGGACTCCCACATGACTGACCATGGTTTGACTCCTGGACCTGGCGGCTTGCTTTCTCCTTTGCCCTCTCTGTCTCTCTGGTCAAATTTAAAAAATAATTTAGAAACTAAATAATTACTTTAAAATATTGCATATGTAATAACATACGATACATTATATATAAGAACATATGTGCATCTATGTGTACACACAACCACACACACGTACACACACACGTAAAGAAAATGTAAGGCTGGCCCTGTGGCCTGCTGGTTCAGGAAGCTGAATCCTACAAGAGTGACCCAGCAGCTTGGGGAACATGCTGAGCGCGTGTACACGCATGCCCCAACCCCTGAGAGCTGGGAGAAGTGGACTAGGGGCTGTGGTGTGGCCACGCCCCATTGGGGGGTGTTTTCTCCCTCTCCGTCTCCCTCCCTGGCAAACATATACACACTCCAGGAAAAAAGAAACAATTAAGATGCATGAATTTTCTTGTGCACCAAGATAAACTTGCACCTTAATTCCATTTTCCCATCGTCCACAAACTGTGAAGTGCCGTGTGCGCGCGTGTGTGTGCCCGCGTGTGTGTGCCCGCGTGTGCGCGCGTGTGTGCAAGTAGGGGCGGTTCCCGTGAAGGAGCCACGCTCAGTGCAGGCCACAGCGTGCTGAGGGAGCTGCGTGTGACAGGGAGGCTGCGAGGGTTCTCTGGGAGGTGACGTTTGAGACCTGAGACCTGGTGGCGAGAAGAGCCAACTGGGAGTCCTGGAGGAGCGGGGCGCTGAGCAGGGAGGGCGCGGCCGTGCACGGGTCCTGGGCGGGACCGCCGGGGTCCTGGAGGAGCAGCGAGGAGGCCTGGGTGGCCGAGGTGGAGTGAGCGAGGCCGTGGGGGCGGCGGCAGGGAGGGCTGTGGCGAGTGTGCAGGCCTGGTGGGCTGCAGGGAGGACGTGGGCACGTAGGAGCCCTGGGAAGGTTGGGAGGGGCTGCCTTATATTTGAAGAGCACCCTCTGGCTACTGCAGGGGAGGTTTCTGCTATAGGGTGCATGCGCTCACCAGAAAGACAGAGAGAGACAGAGAGACAGAAAGTGAGAAATCACCCCCCAGGGGAGATGGCCACGCCACAATCCCTTCTCCTCCATTCTCCTCTCAGGATCTTGGGCACGCACACATACTCGCCAGGTGTGAGTTTAAGCCCCTGGGTCTGGGACTTGAACCATGGTCGACTACGTGGGAGTCCAGTGACATAGCCATTACGCCACCTGCTGGTCCCACCCTTTCAAACATTGGGAAAGCCCCCACATGTGTTGTGGTCTCTGTGTGTCTCTCACTGGAGAGACTTGCAGAGGCAAAGGCGGGAGGGCTTCGAGAGCAGCAGGGCCTTGAGGGTGGCAGAGAGTGGACTCCGGGGAGCCCAGGGACCCCAGGAATGAACAGGCAGCAGGGCCCGTCTGGCCAGCCCTCGGGGTTCAGCCAGGCCTCTTGCTCCCCAGGTCCCTCCTGGAGCAGCTGAAGAAACTGCAGGCCCTGGTGGTGCAGTCCACGGGCAGGTCCGCCCAGACAGGCACCTGCATAGCGGTGAGTCTGGCCCCCGCGGAGGTAGCCCCAGCTCGCACCACCGAGTCGCCCGGCCTCCGTCTCCCATTAGAGAGGAGCGCGCTGGCCAGGGAGGGGGAGGGATGGGGTGACCCCGCCCCCATCTCCCCCAGGTCCTGCTGCTGTCCTTCGCCCTCATCGTCCTCCCCTCCATCAGCCCTTTCACCGCCAACAAAGCCGAGAGCTCCGGAGACTTCGCGCCCGTGCGAGGTAAGCAGCGGAGGGGCGCCCGTCCTGGGTCCCCAAGTCCCCACCTGGGGCCCCTGGGCGGGGGGAGGGGAGCTCTGGGCGGGGAGGCCCCGCCCCACTGTCCGGAAGCTGGGGGCCACGGAGGGACAGGACTCCGCCCTCACCTCTCCCCCTCCCCGTGACCCCCCCTCCCCAGTCTTCTCCAGAACTCTGCACAACGACGCCGCGGCTCGCGTGGCCCCTGGCGGCGGTCCCGGCACCGAGGCCACACGATACGCGAGGCCCCAGGATCCGTGCCCGCTGCTGGCGCACCCCACGAAGGCTCCCCAGGCCACCCCAAAGTGGACTGGGCCTTCGGGGACACGTCGGCGCTGGAGGAGCTGAACAACACGCTGGTGGTGGACAACTCGACGCAGGAGCTGGGCCCCGCCACCCTGCTGGGCTGGGCTGCGCCTGAGCCGGCGCTGCGCCCGGGACATGCGGGGCTGGAGGCTGCGGGGGAGGAGCTGTGAGCGCGGGACCGAGCCCGGCCGCTGCCCAAGCCGCCCGGCGGTGCTGGGCCGACAGCGACAGGCGAGGACCAAGGAGGCGGCTGCAGACCTCACGGAGATGCCAGGATGGACAGAGAGCCGCACACCCAGGGTGCCACGCGGCCGGGGGCAGATAGGGCCAGAAAGCCTGAGAAATGCACGCATGGGCCCAGGCGCAGGGGGACCGGGCACTCGCCTGCCGGGAGGATTCAAACCATGCGTGGGAAGTAGAATTAAACCATGAGCTTATTTTGGTGCAAAAAAAAAAAAAAAAAAAGCGGAAATCCAAGAGTAGGTTTTTTTCTTTGAGAGATTTTTACCACAAGGTGTGTGCGCTCCCGGGACAGACAGAGACAGAGAAAGCAAAAAGTCACGACCCCCCCCCCCCCCGGGGGGGACGGCCACGCCGCAATCCCTTCCCCTCCATTCTCCTCTCGGGATCTTGGGCACGCACGCACACGTGCCTGGTGTGTTATTTTAGCCCCCGAGTCTGGGACTCGAACAGCGAACACTGGTCGACTCCGTGGGAGTCCAGCGACGTAACCCATTCGCCACCTGCCGGCCCCCTGCTAGGATTCATACCTGCATTCCCCACTCGATTTTGGAAGACCCCTGCACACAGCCTGACCTAAAGACACACACGGAGGCACGACACGTGTCTCGGAACCCCCTGGCCTGGGACTTCTGCCCTCGCATGTGGGAGAAGGAAGCCGCGGAGGCCGCAGGGACGTGGCCCGGGCCAGGGGGCGAGCGCGCACCTCCGCCCGCACCTCCCTTTTCTAAGCGGGCTGTGATCCTTAATAAAGTATTTTGACAGAATGCGGCTGGACAGATGTGGAGTGGGGTGAGGGCGGCGGCGAAACCTGGGGCTCCCCTCAGGATGCGGGGCGCCCCACCGCTGGCTGGAGCAGGGGCCGGAGAGGCGCGGGTTCTCCGTCAGCACCTTGGAGAGCAGCGGCGGGAGGCGCGCGGCCCGGAACGCCAAGTTCTGGCAGCCCTTGGAGGGTGCCCATGGCGAGGCCGAGGCCGCCTCCTTCCTGAGGGCTGGGCTGCCCCCTGTTCATCTTAATGAGAAACCGAGGCTTCAGGGTGCCCGGCCTGGCCCGAGCTCCCAGCTGGGGCGGCTGCAAGCCCGCTGCGCATGCGCTCCTCTGCACAGTGGGGAGACGTGGCCCTCTTCTCCAGGCGCCCAAGCCTCGGAGTGGGGGGCACACACCAGACGGAAGTAACAACACCGAGTCAGGTACCAGCGGCTGGCGCGGACCACTGTGGTCAGAAACCTCTGGGCCCCCTGGGTGGGACGTGGGGCCTGGGGGCATGGCACCCCGCACTGCTGCCCGCAGGGACTGGGACTTGGCACAGGGTCCCCTATACGTGTCCCACTTGCCAGAGAAAGGGAGGAAGCACCCGCCGGTGGGGCGTGGTGACGCGCATCGCCCCCACCTCCACCCTGCTGGGACCTGGGGTGCATGCGCGCCGTGCGCGCGCTTGCACAGACACACTCGCGAGCGCATGCGTGGCTTGAGCCGCTGGGCCAGGATCCCAACCGTGGCCGGCCATGTGGGCTCTGGCCGGATCACAGCTCAGACGTCGGACACCTGGAGGGAGTTCTGCTTTTATTGCGTGAAGACTCTCGTGGAAGCCTGTGGGCCCAGCTCTCCCCAACCCCGAAGACAGCATTTGTCTACTGTCTGTCCCGGACTCCCCTCCTGGGGGATTGTGAAGGCGCCTCTGGGGAGACAGCAAAGGCCAGAGGAGAACGCGGGGTGTGAGGGCCCGGGAGGGGGCCTGGGGGCAGGGGGGCTCGTTCCTGCTGCAGCTGGACCCCCCAGGCCGGCCCCCGCCTCCCAGGACAGCCTGAGCCAGAGGCTGGAGCGTGGCGGGGCAGCAGGGTCTGGCCCCCAGAGCCCGGGCAGGCACAGGGGCGCCACGTCCACCCCGGGCCGGTGGGCAGGGACAGCAACAAAGTGAGACCGTT